ATAGAATTTCATCCACAGACATAGAATCGTTTGAAAGTTCTGCTGAAGAGGTTTTATTTGAATGGTATCAACATAGGATTTCATCCACAGACTCAAAAGTTAGAACTCTATGCTAACTACATAGTACCGTGTAAAAATATTGATGGAGAGGTTACGTTTGAATGGAGCACGGAAGGATCCTATCCTTAGACTCAAGCTAGAATCTCTTTGTATAGCATAATAAACCAGCAGCACAAGAAAGTACGATACTAGAGCTTTCATTTGAATGGTTTGCATAGTCACAACGTAGCAAGGATTGAATCCACTGTTTCAATCGCATCAGAGGAAGGCCTTCCTTCGCAGCTTTTATCGTCATACCAAGGGATTTCATTCACAGAGTTATAGTAAAAGTCAAAGTTCATATTTACATAATCGACCCTGGCAGCGAAAAGGGTTGAAGTTACTATTTATAGGTTAACATTTCGTTTTGGTTTGTTTTCCTCTTCCACTAGAACTTATTTAAGTATTTAGCTCGCTGTATCACCCACAGAGTCATGCAATCTGGAAAGGTGTCGTCATCCTCTTCAAGTGAGTTGTTACTTGACTTTAAGGACCTTCGCGGATTGTTTTAGTTGTTGCTTAATGCTCATCTAGTTGTTTGACAATTGTACTGTTTTTAAGCTGTGCTTATGTAACGTTTGAGATTACCCAAACACCAGTAACAGACAAATCGAGATTTAGAAAGTCCTTAAGGCTTGAGACCTCGTCGACTATCCCTTACTGTAATTTGAATCTGCCTATATTCTAACAAGAAGGACGAAATTTCAAGGGGTCAAGCTTGGTTGACATCCATTGATGATTATGTAAAATCCTCTATCTCCTGCCCTCATTAATAATCTCCTTCTTCGTTAGCCTTTTAAAGTGTCATCAAAGTAACTTTCAGTTGTTTTTATTCTTTGTAGAAAAACTTGAGGTGAAAGCCACCGTTAAGAAGTTGTTTGATGTGTGCAAGATATTTGAGCGGGAAAGTGACTGGGACAAATACATCAGAGTTACAGGAGTTTCAAAATGACTTGAGCAATAAGCAGTGAAATTATTTATTACTTTAAGCTTGCTCAGGTAAATATTAGGGAGCTTAAGTAAAGGCAACGGCGACGGCAACGAGAACGGCAAAAAAGCAATAGGTTTTGATTGGCAAAACAACAACTCTGCACGTGCATCACGCTTTTTTGTACATGTACATTTTTTGCCGTCACTGAACGACTACAACGTGAAAGTGCCTAATTTCACGGTTTATGGAGGACGTAAACAAGCGAACACGAAATCTTCTTTCTCATTCTGAACTTGGATATGGCTCTGGAGAATTTAATTCCAGGAGAGTTCGCCTAGATTTGGCAAAGCCGACCCAGTTCAAACGTCCAGCTTTTCATGCACCGAAGTTTATAGTAAGTTGGGTCGACCCAAGTGATATAAGTTCGACGGTTGATTCAGACGTCGAATTAGTCGAACTCTATTCATTTTCACGATGCACAGTGGTCTACAATGCTTACCATTGGAAATAAATTATTAATAGTTATTTATGCGTACGGTTCGTAAGGTTCGACGTTTGAAGCGAGGTCGCTCGACAGTCGAAATTCCCAATTCATGGGTATATGAAAAATTCGACGATTGAACAGGACCTGAGTTGGAATAATCGCGATTGAAGATTAAAAGAATGCAGGATCACTTTTTAAGAGACGTTTTCGCCGCCATCGCCGTCCTCGGATCTCAAGGTCCCTAGTAGTAAACTGAGCTGGAAGCAAATCAGTGTCAAAATATTAAAAAGAAATATTTATTTTGTCTCCCAAAGTCTACATAAATATATTTGCAAGAGTATGTATAATAAAGATCACCTTGAGTTTCAATAAATTTTTTCCCCTTGAAAGAATCAATTTAGACCTAAATTTTGTTTAAAAAGAGGAAAAAGCTATAATTTATATTATCTTTGCCGTCAAAAGGTCAATTAGTTATATATTCGGAATAAAAATAAATTCAATAAAGAATGATGAAATATTGACTTTTTTAGTTTCAATGTTTGCTCAAACGGGTTTTCTTTATATGTAAATATCCCAGCTTCAAAAACCAAACATCAGAAGTCAAAGCTTGGTAAGCCTTTCTGAATGATTAAACTTACACTTCTTTTTGAACGGCAGTTGTGTTTCCCAGAGTCCCGGGCGGAAAGCGGTGTCTGTGTTGTGGTGCTATTGATTGGTGCTTTCATTCACCGTTGAGAGAATCTGTTTTGTTATTCAATTAAAATTCCGATGCGCGCAAGAGTAAAATTCACGAAATTTTTTTGTCTCATTAGGAGGCCAAGCTAGTTTACGTAGAAGGGGCCTGTTTTTTTTCAGGGGCGAAGGACGAAATTTCGAGGTTAACCGGTGCCTGCCGCTAAGGCCAAAGCATAGTCAAGCGGATTTCAACTCGGTCACCCGCAACCATCTTTCAAATCCCGCTCTAGTCACTAGCAAGTGTTTTTCTCGATAGCCCGGCGTAAACATCCTCGGCCATGATTACAGTCAACTCTTTTGCCTACGGCCAGTAGCGATCCTTCCTTGTTGTTACTTTTAGAATACATGTATTTTCGTAATAGTAATTTTGTAGGCCTCAATATGATCTATTGTGTCACCAATAACAGCGCCACTCCGTTGAAGATTTTGTCTGTTTATTCGTAAACGAGACTGACGAAAGATTTACGTATTCGAGCAATATGTTTCTATGCTTCGCGCATAATGTAGCCAGATTGCTAAAGAATGCACTTTATTTGAGTGCAAATGTGTTTGGCGCGAAAATTTGCAGCCGTTTGCAGGGCAAGGCACTACCTTCATTCCCAGTTGTTTTAAGATTCTGAGTATTGTTCTGGCCCCGGGGATCGTACCACCGACTGAGTTAGTCCAGCTAAATATGAAGCTTAAACGCGTAGGTTTGTTCTGTTTGTTCTGTTTTTTTCTAGCAAAACATTGGTAAGGGAAGGAACCCTCTCTAAAATATTTCACAAAGAGAGGAATCCATCAGCCAATATAAACTATCTTAATTTCCATCCGCGATAATCCTTCAAAAATCAACTTAACTAGGAAAATATAACTTTTCGTAATTAGCGCCGTCAGTCCGAGTGAAGACTAGGCTGAGGTATTGATAAGACACGCGCAAGGGTTCAAAATAAAGGCCGCAAGTAAAAAATCTTGTTACCGTAATGTGGCATATTTTATTCAGGTTTTGTCTGACCTCGTGGTAAGCAATTTATAGACTCAAGCTGTTTCATATCAACATCATTTCAACTGGTTAATCGTAAGACGTTTATCGCATTCCTGTGAAGCAAAATTAATTCAAACGATGTTTCGTTTTACGCTGTGCTTGTTTCTCGTCAGTGTCTTTTCTTCCGCAACAAGGTAACAGTATTTCTAATTTATACCTGATTTGAACATATGACGAGAACGTGAAATTGAACAAAAATCTCTTCACTTTCTTGATGACAAGCTGTCGCTAGTTTGCTTTCATTTTACCTTTCTTACACGAAGATTTTTCACCTTGTGAAACAAATTTCAAAATTCATACACTTTAATTTATCTTTTGTTCGCGGTTACATGACGGTGCTGTTTTAGACTTCGTCTTCTCTGGTAGTTTAATAATTCGCTTTAATGCAAAATTGATACAGCAAGTTTCAAAGACATTCATAAACACAGACTTTCGATTAAAGCAGTGCAAAAGAGCTCAAAAGGCTTCTATAAGAGTTAATAACATTGAACGAAAATTTATACAAACTGAGTGATTTTTATCTTTAACTGGTAATAAGCTATGATGACTCTTTTCCATGCATTTTAAAAAACCTTTCGCGCGGCTTTCGAAACACTTCTTATTACCTAGCTAGAGGTAAGAATCATATACAGCTTTGAGCAGCCCCAAACATTGAAATTTCGGTAAAAGACAGAAAAGAGAGTTTAACGACATTAAGTTACACATCTACAGCTTTTTTGGAGTATCAGTAAATCAAATTTCGGATTCCGCACAAACTCATGTACTAATGCGTGTTAAATTTTATTTACGTAGGGCTCTGGATAAAAACATCAGATATAAAGTGCTAGAGATGGACCCAAAGGGAAATCTTTACCTTCACAAAACTGCGTTTCTCTGCAAGAATGATATCATCAAACGACTCGTTAGCGGCAAATACCATCTCGTAGATTCGACCCCGATTGGTAAGTCACTCAATTTTTCCCACATAGGAAACCAGCAAAGGGCTTTATATGTACTGTGATGAGTCGTATACTTAATGCTTCCAGACCTCCACTGAATTATCACTGAATTAGCTTATTCTTGAACTGCTAAAATGCTCGAAAAGAAAAGGAAGTCGACAGTGCCATTTCAAATGTTTTCGTGCTTCCTTAAGCCACTTTTTTTTTCCAATAATAACTGAAAGAGAGTGCTGGTACTGTCCTTAGGGTAACTGAGGAAAGCTCAATTTAATTAGAATGCTCGTTTTCGTTATGAACGCAGGTCTGTCAAAAGATTCTTCAGCACTCAATTGCAAGGATCTCAAAACAAAAGTGCCTTCTTCCACGTCAGGCGTCTACTGGATTGATCCGGATGCTGGTACCCATAGCAACGCTTTCCAAGCCTATTGCGACCAAAAGACGGAGGGAGGAGGCTGGACTTTGGTCTGGAGTTATACCTTCACAACGTATCATTCAAAGTTCTGGACTGGCGCCAATGCTGTCACTCCACGGCCTACATGGACAGTCAGCAATGCTAACACACGAGTGTCCACCACAGTTCCACTGAGCGAGACGCATTATGAAGCCATGAACTTTGCTTTGTGGCGCACCATTGGAAAAGAATTCCTTATCAAGAGTAACATCAACAACTGGATCGCTTGCAAGGACGGTTCTGGAAGCCTCGTGATGCAGAAAACAGGGTCCCTGAGCTGTAAACTGGTCAAAAAAGTTTCAAAGCAGTGTGCAGGTGTTGTGCCAAAGTCCATCACGATGTACAGAGATGGTCCGTATCTCTCCAGCAGTAACCTCTACTATTACTTCGACGGTAGTACGAGTTCAAGTGCGCCCACACATGATCCATGTGGCAGAAATCAGGCGAATCAAGTAAAAGGTGTGGTTAATCAACATGGCAATATTTTTGTACGATGAAAAATTTCTCAAGCGCTTGTTGGATATTGGGGAGGAACTGAAATAAAATCATTAAATGCTAAATAAGCTCTCTAAGGTATTGTAAACAACTCAAGCAGCAAAAAATTAATTTTAACATACACGCTGGAAACTATACTGTTGGGGCAGCAGAGGGTAGCAGAATATTGCAAATAAATAGCCAATAAATGTCGGTTCCTTATATTTCAATTGTTTTATTCATTGTTCAACGTTATATTATGTTCATTTAACTATCGTCAGCCAATTAAACCATCTACTTTCAGTCGCAGATTTTTTCCACCGTAAATTATTTCCCTTCAAGTTATTTCCCTTGGCCGAGTTTTTCTCGTTATAGTACCGTTAAACCTAGTGAAAGTGACCACGGAAAAGAGGAATGCAAGAGAGTACTGAAATATAATGATCCTTTCTAAGAAAGATTAATTTATTTAAACGTCCACAGAAAATTCGCTACCAATTCGCTAACTTCCTTGAAATTCAATTTACGATCAGGTGACCTGTCACGTGACTATAATTGCATCAAAGGCATAAGATTACCTCAAAAGTTTTACTCGAGTGAAAGATTTGTTTGTACTCTAGATATCCTTGAGAGACCTATTACCAATCGATCATATTTTCCGAGCACAACTTTCGTACCAGGCGAGTGCGGAAATAATTTGCCACTCCATAAATAAACAAGAATCACTATCTAGGTACGCGTGGATTTGAGATCGTTTGGGTAAGCGAAATAAGTAATGATTGCATCATACTCTTGTTTTTTGGCCGTCTTAGCTTAAACGCATTTCTGGAAAGAAATAAAACTTTAACTTGACGTTTCGTTTGTTCCAACATACATCTTCAAAAGTATGAATCGTTGAATAATGAATTCCTGTTATTATTCAAATACTTCTTCAGAAGTTAAATGTTGGAACATTATGAAACGTCAAGTTAACGTTTTATTTCTTTCCAAACATGCGGTTATATTTCCTTATGTTTATCACCGCTGTTTGCTTTTTGTTTCTTCCTAATGATTGCATGGTTAATGGTTGACTTTCAATACCATCGACCAATCATAACTAACACGTGTCCGCACAAATGATCCCAGGAATCATTGCTTCAAAAGCACACTATCCCTGTAGTTTATGAATAGACAAATGTGATTTTCGGAAAATATTCTGAATAATTTCTAGTTCAAAATTTCATAATTCATTTACACCGCGTGATATTTATTTATGACATTCCTACGAAGTACATAAAGAAAATGTATCTCAAACATTAGTATTTCTCTCGGATAATAGCGACTTATTGCCCGAGTTTTGGATACAGTTTCGGGAATCTCTACCAATTCTAAACTCTTTAACGAAAAATGAATCTCCATTCGACTTTAATGGGATTCTTTTGGGGTGGGGTAAGGTGTTTGCTTGTTTTTGAAAAAAAAATGGATCTTGGAACGAAGCAGGGGCGAAAAGACAGGCTATTTTTTTGCGCCAACACTTAAACCCATAAGCGGATAAAGGTTGGGCGGTATAACGAGCGCGCCCGAGCGACCGCCCGAGCAAAAAGCTGTGATGCAGTGGACTGGGATCAAATTGTGGACTACAGATCAAAGAGAGGGCATAGTTGGGAATACATACATACCAACATGCATGCTTTATTTGGTAAAGCAGGTTGAGAGATGGCAGCATAAGCTGATGTGGACCTGCTAGACTAAATTACATAATAATCAAAAATTACCAAACATACTAACTATACAAAGAAATGTCAAAATATTACAATACATACTATCCAAACTAGAGGAAAAAGAATTTCAGCTACGAGGATACAAAAGAGTGCGACATGCATAAATTAACAAAATAATTTGTAGAAAGGGTAATCTAAAAGTCAACAAAGTCATATCAGTGTTCGTGTATGTAATAGTGGAACTGGTCTCAAAAGATATTCCATCAATAGATTAAGAGTGTTTTGCAATATTTCCCTCAAAAGATGCAAGAGAAGGTGATGACTTGATCTTTACAGCTAGAGCATTCCATATGATGCTGGCTTGATGAGTGAAAGAGTCACTGAGTCCTTTCCAGTAAGAATGGGTTAAGAGAGGTTGTCCCTTAAATTGTATTTAGTCACATGCTTAGTGAAGAGATTTGTAATACCAGGTGGTGCTAAGTTATAGTAAGTTTGATAACCAATTCACGGTAGTCTTTTCTTGTTAAGATATGATAAGGAGTACCATTTAGCTTTAGTTATAAATGCAAACTATACATTCAAATATTACAAATGAAAAATACATAGATGCATTTTAGTAGGGACGTTAAGATCCGACAAGGGCGACGGCAACGAGAGCTTAAAACTGACGCAATAGCTTTAATAAGCAAAACAACAGCTCTGCAAGTGCAGCATTTCCTTCCTGTCAAGACGTGAAAGTTCCTAAATTGCGCGTTAACAAGCGACCACTAAATCGTCTTTTTCATTCTGAATTTGGATATGGTTCTGAGGAATTCAATTTCAGGGGCGTTCGCCTAGATTTGGCAAAGCGGGCCCGCAGTTCAAACGTCGACCTTTCCATATACCGCTCTTAACAGCAATTTTTGTCGACCCAAATGACATGAGGCCAGGCCTAGTCCAAACGTGGAACTTTTCATAAAAAGAACCAAACTTAGTGAGTTAACTTCATGAAAAGTTTGACTTCTGCCTCAGGTAAGTTCATCTGAATTAGTTTGGATCGTCCAACACGTTCTATCCGTCTGCTTTAGACGGAGAGAACGTCTGAAGATCGTCTCAGGGACAAACGCCTATCTTTACATGTGACGAACCAAACTAATAAATAAAGATTTGTGTGACAATTTATATTTAGGAAGGAAATTTATTAAAAATTGCTTGTTTGGTCTGATTCAGTTGATTGGTTCGACGTGTCCTGAGGTCGACATCCGATCTTAATTTAAGTAGACCCGAATTAGAGTTTGGTTCGTCTTATGAAAAGTTCGACGTTTGGCTTAAGCCTTAGTCGGACTCAATTTATTTTCATAATGTACAATACTCTACAATGTTTACCAGGGGAAGTAAATTATGGCTATTTATACATTAGGTTAGGCACATGAAAAGTCCAACGTTTGAAACGAAGTCGCTCCACAGTTAAAATTTCTATGTGGGCTATTGGAACGTAATTCATGGGTTGGCCAAAATTAGATATGTTGGACTTAACTGGTTCAAACTTCGATCTTTTAATGTACTAATTGAAGGGGTTAGGTTGCGTACGTGAAAAGTTCGACGTTTGAACTGCGCCTGAGTTGGAATTATCGGGCTGAAGATTGAAAGAATGCCGCAAATTCACTTGAAGCTACGTTTTTGCCGCCGGCGCCGTCCTCGGATCTCAAGGTCCCTACTAGTAAAGCTGGAAGCAAATCAGTGTCAAAATATTAAAAAAGAAATATTTATTTTGTCTCCCAAAGTTTAGATAAATATATTTGCAAGAATTTGAACTATAAAGATCACGTTGAGTTTAATAAATTTTTCCCCTCAAAAGAATCAATTTAGAGCTAAATTTTGTATAAAAAGAGGAAAAAGCTATAATTTATATTATCTTTGCCGTCAAAAGGTCAATTAGTTATATATTTGGAATAAAAATAAATTCAATAAAGAATGATGAAATATTGACTTTTTTAGTTTCAATGTTTGCTCAAAAGGGTTTTCTTAATATGTAAATATCCCAGCTTCAAAAACGAAACATCAGAAGGCAAAGCTTTGTAAGCCTTTCTGATTGATTTAACTTACACTCCTTTTTGAACGGCAGTAGTGTTTCCAAGTGTCCCGGGCGGGAAGCGATGCCTGTGTTGTGGTGCTATTCATTGGTGCTTTCATTTACCTTTGAGAGAATCTGTTTTGTTATTCAAAATTGCCATACGCGTCAGAGTAAAATTCACGAAATTTTTTGTCTCGTTAGGAGGCCAAGCAAGCCTGCGTAGAAGGGGCCTGTTTTTTTCAAGTGAGAAGGAAGAAATATTAAGGTTAACCAGCGCCTACCGCTAAGGCCGAGCTTGGTCAAACGCATTTCAACTCGGTAGTCACTAGCAATTGTTTTTCTCGATAGCCCAGAGTTCAAATCCTCGGCCATACTTAAAATCGACTCTTCTGCCTGCGGCCAGTAGCGATTTTTCTTTGTTGTTAAATTTAGAATGCAGGTATTCGGTTTTTATCCTTCAGTATCTTGTGGGCCTCGATATAAATTATCGGGTCACCAATAATAGCGCCACCCCTTTGAAGATTTTGTCTGTTTATTCATAAACGAGACTGACGAAAGATTTACGTATTCGAGCAATATGTTTCTATGCTTCGCACATAATGTAGCCAGATTGCTAAATGATGCACTTTATTTGAGTGCAAATGTGTTTAGCGCGAGAGTTTGCAGCCGTTTGCAGGGCAAGGCGCTACCTTCATTCCCAGTTGTTTTAAGATTCCGAGTATTGTTCTGGCCCCTTTGGATCGTACCACCGACTGAGTTAGTCCTGCTAAACATGAAGCTTAAACGAGTAGGTTTGTTCTGTTTTTTTTTTTTTCTAGCAAAACATTGGTAAGGGAAGGAACCCTCTCTAAAATATTTCACAAAGAGAGTAATCCATCAGCCAATATAAACTATCTTAATTTCCATCCGCGATAATCCTTCAAAAATCAACTTAACTAGGAAAATATAACTTTTCGTAATTAGCGCCGTCAGTCCGAGTGAAGACTAGGCTGAGGTATTGATAAGACACGCGCAAGGGTTCAAAATAAAGGCCGCAAGTAAAAAATCTTGTTACCGTAATGTGGCATATTTTATTCAGGTTTTGTCTGACCTCGTGGTAAGCAATTTATAGACTGAAGCTGCTTCATATCAACATCATTTCAACTGGTTAATCGTAAGACATTTATCGCATTCCTGTGAAGCAATTCAAAACGATGTTTCGTTTTACGCTGTGCTTGTTTCTCGTCAGTGTCTTTTCTTCAGCAACAAGGTAACAGTATTTCTAATTTATGCCTGATTTGAACATAGCACGAGAACGTGAAATTGAACAAAAATCTCTTCACTTTCTTGATGAGAGGCAGGTTGTCGCTAGTTTGCTTTCATTTTACCTTTCTCACACGAAGATTTTTCACCCTGTGAAACAAATTTCAAAATTTCATACACTTTAATTTGTCTTTTGTTCGCAGTTACATGACGGTGCTGTTTTAGACTTCGTCTGTTCCTGTGTTTTCGCTTTAATGCAAAATTGATACAGCAAGTTTCCAAGACATTTATAAACACAGACTTTCGATTAAAATAAAACAAAAGAGCTAAAAAGGCTTCTATAAGAGTTGACATTGACCGAAAATTAATACAAACTTAATGATTTTTATCTCTAGTTGGAATGAGCTATGATGACTCTTTTCCATGCATTTCAAGGCCTCTAGGAAAAGCCTTTCGGGCGGCTTTCGAAACACTTCTGATTACTTAGCTAAGAACCTTGATCTCGCACAAACAGCTTTCAGGAGCCTCAAACAATGAAATTTCGGTAAAAGACAGTAAAGAGATCATTGAGTTACACTTCTACAGCTTTTTGAAGTATCAGTAAATTAATTTGCAATCACATTTCAGATTCCGCACAAACTCTGACACTAACGCGTTATAAACTTTATTTACGTAGGGCTCTGGATAAGAATATCAGATATAAAGTGATAGAGATGGACCCAAAGGGAAATCTTTACCTTCACAAGACTGCGTTTCTCTGCAAGGATGATATAATCAAACGACTCGTTAGCGGCAAATACCATCTGGTAGAATCGAGCCCCATAGGTAAGTCACTCGATGTTTCCCACATAGGAAACCAGCAAAGGGCTTTATATGTATACTGTGATGAGTCGTATGCTGTAATGCTTCCAAACTTGTACCGAATTAGAACTGAATTAGCTTATTCTTGAACTGCTAAAATGTTCGAAAAGAAAGAGAATTCTTCACCACATTTTTTTTTCTAATAATAACTGAAAGAGAGTGCTGGTACTGTCCTAACTTGAGAAAACTCAATTTGCTTAGAATGCTCGTTTTTGTTATGAACGCAGGTCTGTCAAAAGATTCTTCAGCGCTCAATTGCAAGGATCTCAAAACAAAAGTGCCTTCTGCCACGTCAGGTGTCTACTGGATTGACCCGGATGCTGGTTCCCATAGCAACGCTTTCCAAGCCTATTGCGACCAACAGACGGACGGAGGAGGTTGGACTTTGGTCTGGAGTTATACCTTCACAGCTTATTCAAGCTTCACGTCTTATGCAAACGCTGTCACTCCACGGCCTACATGGACAGCTAGGACTGCTAACACACGAGTGTCCACCACAGTTCCACTGAGCGAGACGCATTATGAAGCCGTGAGCTTTGCTTTGTGGCGCACAATTGGAAAAGAATTCCTTATCAAGAGTAACATCAACAACTGGATCGCTTGCAAGGAAGGTTCTGGAAGCCTCGTGATGCAGAAATCGGGGTCCCTCAGCTGTAAACTGGTCAAACAAGTTTCAAAGCAGTGTACCGGTGTAGTGCCAAAGTCCATCACGATGCACCATCGCGGTCCTTATCTTTCCATCGGTGGCATCTTCTACCATTTCGACAGTCATACGAGAGGAAGTTGGCCCACACATGATCCATGTGGCAAAGGTCAAGCGAATCAAGTAAAAGGCGTGGTTAATCCACACAGTAATATTTTTGTTAGATGAAAAATTTTTCAAGAGCCTGCTGAATATTGGGGAGGAACCAAGATAAAATCGTTAAATGTTAATTAGCTCTCTGAGTGACTGTAAACAAAACTAGTAGAAAAAAATTAAACTTAACAACTGAAAACTACACAACTGTTGTGTGGCAACAGAAGGCAGCGGAACATTGTGAATGAATAGCCAATAAATGTGGGTTCCCTATATTGCAATTGTTTCATTTATTATTCAGCATTAAATAAGGTTTAGTTACCTATCGTCACTCAGTTAAATCATCTACTATTCCCACCAAAGAGTAAAATAAAGTTAAAATATTTCTCTTGACCAAATTTTTCTCGTCATACGTGTTTCGCGTTACCTACTGAAAGCGACCACACGAAAACGCTGAATACACTCAACTCTCTCATAAGAGACACCTATCTAAGACGGACACCTGGTGTTGGCCCCAGTCGTTTTTAAGTCTTTTTACTGTAACTACACTCTCTGTAAATAAGACGGACACCTCCCTAAGACAAGCGACGTCACGTCTGCGGTGAACCGTCAAAGGTCACTTGAGAAATGTATTATGCAGTGAAAGATACGTCTAAGCGGAAATGTAGGTGCTCAACATGACAGTAAACTACAGTAATTAAGGGGGAAGCAATTTACATAACCATTCTCGTCCTTTCTAAACGCCACGTGGAGAGAACCAAAAAAATTGTCCTGTTAAGCTGTAAAAACGTTATCTTCTCGTTTTCGCTGAACTTTAGTTTAACCTTTCAAGAGGAGAACTTCAAATGTTCCCACCAAAAACAAACCATTACTTACTACTTACAGTACTGTATTACAGTTTGTTTTGCAGTTAAAACGTTTACTCAAAATAGCGAATCAATATAGTTTTATTATTTTGTAGACGTGTTCCAGTTCGCAGAGTGTACAATTTTACACTTTCAGACCACTAAGCCGTAACATTAGCTTGTAGTGAACGTTTGTTCATGTATAGTTTAGAAGTTCAGCACTTCATATTTAGAATATCACACAAGAGATTTCAAAAAACCTTGCCCTTGAATAGTAAATTAGGTCAACCTTACTCTGTTTGGGATTGGAGACAAAATAAAAAATCCTTACTGGCCTTCTTAAAAGTTCACGCCAGGGGAAAAATAATTTACCACGCCACCCGGCTTTCTTTCGCAATCAAGACAAATCAAGTCGATGTTTCTGAATTGCTTGAACAGTTTGGGGTTGTTTATACTCAGTTATACTGCACTACAAGAATTTACACTCACGCCAAAATTCGCCATGATTGTTGATCTACAAGGGTTATCGATTCTCTTGTGTTGCCGTCAGGCTCAATGCGAGAAACAGTCAATAGACATATATTTTATACGCGGTGTCAGAAACCAAAATGCACATGCACAAACTTATGAAGCAAAAGTTTGATCAGCAACGTTATGGACAGACGTTGCAGCTGGCGAAGCCATGATAATTTTAGCCTGCGTGGCAGGCGTTTGAAAGGGAAGGGAAAGGGGGTTTGGGGCGCGAGGAAAACGCGAGGGACGCACGAGAAGCGTTCTGTCGCACCTAAAACTCCCTTTCCCTTCCCTTTCAAACGCCTGCCACGCAGGCTATGATAACCTCAGCGGTTGCCGGGCGTGTTAAGCTATGAACACACTTTACCGGGTAGCTTTTGCGACGGTACGAAAACCACCGGATAGGGCTTCTGTTCACAGGTAAGAACGGTGATTTCGGCGCGATTTCTGTAACAGAGCAAAGCTGCGCAGCGCCGACCCATAAAGTGGGAAATCACATATTGGATGTATATAGGCCTAGATACAAATATCACAGAAAAATCAGCTAAATATATCTCCGGAAATTCCCGATTTTTTTTCTAAATATCTCGAAAATTCTCCGAATATCTCAAAAATATCTGGCCTTTATTTCATTAATATTACAGTAAAAAGACAAAAAAATAGCCGGTTGTCTAAAATGGCAACACAAATGTCAGCCATTTTGTTGAACATTTATTTAGCCAAATTACGTATATTATAAATGGAGAATATTGTTGAATCTGATTACAACAGGCCCATAATTATATGTGGAGATTTGTTTGAATTTCTGTTACTAAAATGCCCATGCCCTAATTAGCATTGAAGTAGCTTCCTAGAAAAACATGATTTCAGTACTTTTTTCGTAACAAAATGCTAAATATCACATTTTTTTCCTAAATATCATGAGGTTTTCTAAATATCTCAAAATCTTATAAATATCTTTAAAAATATTCGGATATTTGTATCTTAGCCAAGATGTATACCGGACAGCTTTTCGCGTTGGCACGAAAAGCTATCCCGACCGATATAGTAGGAACATAGCCTTAGATATATATTTTTCAAAGAATACGAATAGTATATCATTCTAAGGGCCAACATATTTTTTGCCTAAAATTATAACATCAATTAAAGGGACAGTGTCCCGATTATGCGCACGCGCGAGCGTCATCTGTTTTTTCTTCAAAAGACAATAGAACTGTCAAATTGACTCGACAAGATTTCCTTCCGGACCGCACCGCCGACAGAGATTTGTTGTTTATATTCTCAAGTAATATTTTAGACTTTCGAAGAAGTCTTTCGTCTTATATAAAAATTTGGCCCGCGGTTCGAAGACTCATCGCGATTTTATCGCTAGCTGGGCCGCCTCACGACCCGAAAATCTCGTTCCGCTCGCTTTAAAAACATATTTTCTAATTTGAAACTCGTGTCAGAGGTCAATCGCTCCAAGTCCAGTAACATCTGCCTGATTTGCTCGCGTTCTAGCCTCAAACGTTTGAAAGACATAAATAAAAATGCAATCTCAACGCTATGAATCATCACAAAG